GGGGGGGGGGGGGGGGGGGGGGGGGGGTGAGGCGTATGATGTTCTAGTCGGAGGTCGGAGACTCCGGTTGTGGTACTCCGTGCGATGCTCGGCACGAGGGCAGCATGGCCCAGACCTCGAGTCGGTTGCCTGTTTGTCCCTCGTTGACGGATAGATGGAACACCGAAACGTACGATCTGGGCTACTTGTTGCGGATGGCAGACAAGACAATCACGTACACATACGCACGTGGCCATGACGTTTGTGCAAGAAGAAGGAGCGCTCTTTCGTCACTGAAAAAACAAGCAGACGGGCAAACAGGAGCACTCGACAAAATAGAGCCTGCGAATGGGACAAGGGCAGAGTGCGGCAGAGCTTGTTGGCCACCAAGCTGCGGTACAAACACAGAGCCCGGTGTTCTAGTTGCAAGCACGGCTTCGTGAGGTCCAGAGAGGGGCAAAAAGAGGTTAAGGATCGTATCTATCTTTTCCGACAACAAAAAACCGATGGGTGGCATATGTGATGCCCCAAACAAAGCACTTCTCTCTTCCCTTTCATTCGTTTTTATAGCAAAGATCAATAATTCCAAGACACCGGGAAACGGATTCCGAACAACAGAGCACGCTCTTTTCTTGTAGTAACGCAAAAACTACAAGATACAGGATGTGTACCCTTCGTTCCATTACCACGATTCCCGAAGAAAACACACACGCATTGCATACATGTACTTATACATGAGCCTGAAAAGCGTAACACTGAAACGAAACAAAATTTCCGTACGTCCACAAGACTTCACTTTGACAACACCTTCTCTAAATACTTCAAGCGGACAACACTTGCAAAAAACGGTCCCCAAGAGCATGCCGTGCAACAGCACGCTTCTCAGACACCCGCTCCCCGGCAGATGGTGGTCGTTCGACGGCAAGCTACACATCACATCTTCAGCTTGCCGGATGCCGTGCGCATGTGTAGTGGCGGCGCCTGCATCGTCTTGTCCTGACCACCGCCGCGGCGGATCATCTCCGACGAATGCAGGTCGCCGCCCACGTAGCAAAGGCACTCGGCCGGACCGTTGCCGCAAGTGCAGGCCCCCCGCCGCTGCCGCTGCGCCCCCGGCGAGCGCTTGACACCGCCGCTGCTTCCGTCCGACGACCTGTCCAACGGAAACCCCCTTGCTGGGCGGGAGGACTCGACCCGTCTCTTTCCCGAAGACCGATTGTTCGAGCCAAACACCGAAGACAGCGCGGGAGCCGCTAGCCGCACCTGCCCCAGCCCTAGCCACCCCGAACCTCTCCCCCTCCGCGAAGAATTCGACGGGCGGCGTACGTTCTGCCTTGGACGCGGCGGAGGCGGTGCCGCCGCCGCCGCCGCCGCCGCCGCCGCCGCTCCCCCGCCGCCGCCGCCACCGCCCTTGCCGCTGCAGTTATCCCTCGCGTTGTTGTAGCTCTGCCGGGGCCGGCCTTGCGCGCCGCCTTCGGAGGAATCATCATCCACTGGCGCGGCGACCCCCGCCGCCGCCGTCGTCTTCGCCGGCACCGGCACCTTCCCGGAGGGAACCCTGCTTCCGCCCGCGGTCGGTCGCCGCCGCGACGGCGGCGGCGGCGGGAACAGGAAGGCGACCGCACCTGTTTTTCGCTCCCCCGGTGCTCCTGGGTTCCTGGCGGTGGTCCCAGCAGCAGTAGGGTTGGCGTGCGCCGTCTTTCTCCACCCGCCTTGCTCGAGGGTCGTAGCACTAGTCGCCGCGCCGGACGATGACGATGACGGCGGCGGCGAGGGGTACGGGGACAGCTCCCCGGTGCCGCCGCCCCCCCCGTCCAGATCGCCGCTGCCGGCGGCAGCCTTCTGTCTCTGGCCCGGCCTCCTCGGCGGGTACGGGCACTCCCGAAGCCTCGTCGGGAAAATCCCTCTGCCGCCGCTGCTGGCGCTGGCGCCGGTGCTGCCACCGTCGCCGCCACACGGTCGCCGTTCAACGGTGACCGCTCGGACCTCCCCGTCGGGACCCATCTCCCCGTCAGCCGCGAGATCGAAGGATGGGGACTCCCCCACCTGGAGCACGTAGCTGCTGTCGCCGTCGCCGCCGCGGCGGCGGCGGCCGTCGGGGTTGGTGCTGGTTGAGCCGTCGCAGCAGTCTTGGTGATCGACGACGTCCTCGTCGTGAGACTGTGATCGGCGTCGGTTGTAGGAGTCGTGGCGCGAGGCCTTCAGGGACTTTCGGTCCGGAACGGGCGACTCTGAATGACTCACGGACTTCCTATCGCGCCGGGTGTTGTTAAGGGGGGGGGG